CAGGAGCGAGGAAGACACTGGCACGGTGAAAGACAGTATCTGCTGGATGAGACCTGGAGGATACAAGGGTTACAGAGACCAAATGTGATGGATGGAGACGTCTGCAAGAAAGTGGTATGAAATGGTTGTCCAGGGGAAGGGAAGAATACATACTAGAGAGTATCCTCAGGCAGTACCACATCCTAAGTGCCCATCTGCAATTTGTCATCATGAATTTAAAGTAAGACAAGTCATATATTCGGGTGTTTTTCTCCCCCAAACACCCAATCTTCAGATGTAATCTTCAGATGCTACCTTCACCCGGCTGCCTCTCCTTAGCTTGGCTTTGTCAGTCCTACTAGATTCTTCTGTGGAAATCCATGTGGCTCCTCCAAGTCTCGATCAGGTGCTCTCTAATGGTCTCTCTTATTTACCTCTATTACGAACATATTTATGCATCTGTACCTCCCATCTGAACACAAGCTCACAGAAGGCAGACATTTTTTAACCTATGTTGTTCTAACCTCAACTTCAAACACAGCACTTAGCACATAAGTGCTGAACGTATACTAGTTGAATAAGAGAAATACGGTCCATAAGACAGATATCAGTCTCTGCAGTTCCCACATTAGCACCAAGAACATTTGTGTTGAATGTTAATTAGAAAGAATTCTCACCTATTTATTGCTAAAATAGTGACAAGTTTCCTAAGATTTACAATCCAGCTTCTTCTTGCTTCAGTTTCCAAAGTTAGTATTATAATTGTATACAAGTTTATTTCCCAGAAGAAGTTTTGCCTTTTAGCTGATTCTTTTCCTTTGCCTTCTAAAATGGTGAATAAGGAAGACTTTATTTTATAATAGCAAGATGAAAGGTGAAAAATAAGCACTAAACTTATATTTTAAGTGTAGTGTAACAGATCTGCCCACAACATTTTATCTGCTAGTTTTCTTTTTCAAATTAGAAACCTACATGTTTAAGGGAAATATACCTTATATTTCCCACATAATTTGTACAAGGATAAACATATATTTAAATATGTTTAGGAATATTTTAAATGATTAGGAATATTTTTAAAAGGGTATAATATATATTTAAAGTTTCCCTTTAAATATACCTTATATTTCCCTTGTGTCTCAGCTGGTAAAGAAACTACCTGTAATGCGGGATACCTGGGTCCGATCCCTGGGTTGGGAAGATCCCCTGGAGAAGGGAAAGGCTACCCACTCCAGTATTCTGGCCTGGAGAATTCCATGGACTGTATAGTCCATGGGGTCGCAAAGAGTCGGACATGACTGAGCCACTTTCACTTAATGCAAAAGACAGATTCAACACACAATCAAGGATGTGGGCCTCACTGGTACCTCATCAATAAGAATGGCAATATTTTGCAAAGATGCAAGAATACATTTCCTATCTCACATAATCTTCACAATACACCTCAACCTTGAGATGTATTTTTATTTTCAATATATGTAAAATGAAGTTTAGAGAGCTAAAGTAAAACTCTTACCAAGTCACAGAGCTGCTAAAGGGCAGAGTCTGAACTTAAGCCAAGATTGGTTGGCTCCAAAACTGATTTTTGTTCAAAAATGTAATGTGGAGAAGCCCATATTGGAAGCCCCTCATGATGTTAAAGGTTGCTTGCAGTTCTAATTTTGCATAACTTCTAAAGAGAAAAAGAAGTTTCTCTTGTACATCTTATTTACCTTGAATTAACAGCCCCATTAATGGCTGGGAGATAGTTTAGAATATTCTCAGTGTTTTTCCTACTCTCCAGATGTGGATCCAAGCTTTACATGTAGAGGCTCAAAGGGACAACCACTTTTTGAACAGTAAGTAATGCTGCTTCCATTTATTTTACTACTGGAATCTCTGCTATAGAGAACAAGAGGATTTAAAAAATGTCCAGGATAGATAAAGGTTTTAGAGATACTTGCAAAATGGGTATTATTTGTTCATAAAACCTGAATTTATACTTCTTTTCATTAGTTTAGATTTTTAGTCTCTAGTTATTAGGTTAAGTACTTATTGCAAAAGTAAATATTTATTTTAGTTCTATATAATGCTGAGTTCAATCTTGCCACTAATTCATTTCAATAGATATCCACTGACTCCTAAGTTGAACTTTACAACTGCCAATGCACATTATGGACCAAATGAACATTTGACACATCACACAGCATGCATCACTTAATTATGGAAAGCTTATGTAATAACAAACTTTTATATAGTGCATTTATTTAACAAGAGTGCATGTAGGAATGAACTCATTTTACAGATGGAGAAAAAAGGCTCAGAGAGGTTAGTGACTTGTCTAAGTTCAAGCTCCTAGTAAGTGGCAGAGTTAGCACCTGGAAATGCTCTGAGAGTGCATGACTTATTACATAAGCTTATTATATAAGCTTCTTAACACTGGGATGATGTATCATTTATTAGAAAGAGAACCAAAGAATACTAAGTAGTTTTAAAGACTAGTAATTAGGGGCAACAAAGCCTTGGCTCTAGGAATACCAACTGCATCACCTCCTATGAGAACTCAAAATCTGAGTTGAAAAGGAGTGACTAAAGGAAATTGTAGGGAACCTATATGAAAGGGATGTTACCACAGTGAGAACACTGAGCTGAGAGGCGGAAGCCAGTGGAAATTCATCCATAAAACAGGAAGCTGCCCAGAATGGATGACTCAGTTGGGTGGCCTTGTCCTTACCCCAACAGGAAAATGTCCTGGTTCTGCCCTAAGTGACTGACCAGCTGTTACATCCAGGTGCTCCCAAGCCTTCTGGCTTCTGGCTGGTTCTACCAATGCGGACCCTTGGCAGAGATGGGAGGCATGTGCTATGCTGTGCTTAGTCACTCAGTCATGTCTGCCCCCACGGACTGTAGCCCACCAGGCTCCTCTGTCCCTGGGGATTCTCCAGGCAAGAATACTGGAGTGGGTTGCCATGCCCTCCTCCAGGGGATCTTCCCCACCCAGGGATGGAACCCAGGTCTCCCGCATTGCGGGCAGATTCTTTACCAATCTGAGCCACCAGGAAAGCTCAAGAATACTGGAGTGGGTAGCCTATCCCTTCTCCAGGGGAACTTCCTGACCCAGGAACTGAACCAGGGTCTCCTGCACTGCAAGCGGATTCTTTATCTGCTGAGCTAACAGGGAAGTCTGATGGGAAGGATATGGGGCTATAGCATTAAGGCTTACCCTTGGCTCTCCTCCTGTGAGGATTCCAAAGGTCACTGCTCCTCTTAAAGGCTCCTGCTTACAGAAATTCCCTGGTGGTCCAGTGGTTAGGACTTTTTTTTTTTCACTGCCAAGGGCCTGAGTTTGACCTCTGGTTGGGGAACCAAGATACCACATGCCGTGTGATATGGCCAAATAAATAAGTAATACATTTTTTAAGAAGGGCTCCTGTTTTCCATGACTGTCCCCCTCCACATGACATCATCCTTCAGGCCTGCATTCGTGTGCAGGCCCTACCCATGGTGTCCTCATACACACTGCCCATATCTGTGGTATTGGTACCCTTGTAAATCAACTCTCTTTGCCTTACCCCAATTTAAATGTTTCTGGAGCCTTGACTGATGCTAGAAGATTCTGAACTAGATTCTGGAAGATTCCTCCCAGCTCTCATTCTGCACATGATCATTTGTGAACTAACTTGGCTTGCCTGTTCTTCTTTCTCCAAAGTTACAATTCTTGAATTCTTCAAGTTCAGATGGTGTGCCAATTATTAACAGAGGAAAGTGCTCTGTGTTCACTTCATTTTCCTAAAAGTATAACTACTGTCCACAATCAAAAGTAAGACAGAAGTCAAAAGTAAGTAAAATAAGGGCACAGCTTTATTTCACTACAAGGCAGTAAGTACACTGTCATATCAAAAGTTCAGTACCGGCCATCTTGCACCAAAGGTTCTTAAGGCAGCAACTGGCTATCGACCCCAGCTGCAAACACACAGGTTGTGTGTGGCAGTTCTGAGAGCATACACTTAAGGACTCTGGAGAATGCTGATTAAACACATAAGCCCTGAATTAAAGAACAGTCAGGCTGAACTCAAAACAAAACACAGGACATCAACAACACAGATCTCCCAATAAAGAAGTGCAATGCATCCTCTTATAAACCAACAAGAACAAAAAAAAAAAAAAAAACAAGAAACAACCACAAATGCAAAATCTCCCAAATAAGTTTTCCAATGTATTACAAAAGGAAAAAAGTATATATATATATGTATATATATATATATATAAAATAAAAAAGTTTGACAATACTAGTGCATAGTCAATTACCTAACACCAAGTTTCTTTTCTCTCCCTCCCAAGCACTACTGCCCTTCTGATACTAGCAGCATGTCTACAGGCTAAGTCCATAGCAGCAAAACACATTTTTTTTCATTTGGCATGTACAAAATTAAATTACTGAATAAAAATATAATTTTTTATAAAACTATTTCATACAGTAATAATTTTTAAAGCAAGCTAACAACAACAAAAAAACCCTCATAAAATGGTTTGGTACAATAAACGTACCTCCAATGTTATTGACCATAAATGAGCATTTACAATATTGATTATTTATTTCACGGAGTGAAGCCGACATTTATAGTAATGCATTGTGTTTAGTGATTGAGAAAAGTGAAATATTGGAGTACCTTTTTTTGTGTTAAATTTCAAAAACCTCATCACAGAGAAAATACTGATCTGTTGGATCCTCTTAAAATACAGATAAATCATTTTATGTTTTTTTAAAAAAAAATCTGCATTAAGATACTAACCACTGACTACAATCCATGACCTAATAATTTAGGTAAAACTGTTACACTTATTAATTTTTTAAAAAATCCGTTTAGCTGGGTGAAATCTCATACGATTTCACCCACCTAAATGCACTTGGTGCTTCTCTCAACTGTTGTACCACAACAAAAATAGGCTCTTCTCCCATTCATGAAAAGTTTCATGTAGAGGAATGCTATATTCCAAGTCAACTTGAAGTGTTCTGAAAACCATAATGCTTGTCTGCAAACGTCTCACATGACCAGAGTCCGGGTTGAGAAGGCATTCACGTATTTCCGAGGCTGACCGGAAGCTGTCATCTGATCGTCTGTCTTCCCACAGGATGCGGATTCCCAAGCACCGCCACAAGGCTAACAGGGGTGGGCAGAGAGAGGGGAAGGGCAAGGTCAGACCCCGAAGCACATGCGTTAGCCCACGGATGGACTCCCAACCCCACCTGGCCCAGCAGAAAAAAATGCTGACCTCCAGATAGCAAATAGGAGACACGGGGGAGCCTTTGTCAGATAAAATCTTCACTCTGACAACCAGGAATTCCGCATTCTTAAGTGATATTAATTATCAGAAACTGTTTGTCGTGAAGAGAGAAAACCCACTCCAAGCAGTATGATAAGATCCAGCTGTATCTTCATGTTTGAGTGCTTTTTGTCTATTAGCAGATTTTATAGACTTAGAGACAGGAATGAGTCCAGTCCTCCACACACCCAAGGTGAGCTGTGGGCGTTGACTCTGAGCAAACTGGTGAGTGCTTGAGCTGCCCACGGAAGCAGCTCCCATAGGTGCCAGATCAACCCTTACTAAACATAGTACATATTTTTAATCAAGTTAATTACATTTAAATTTAGTTATGAACATTTAAATGTATCAACTCAAGTGGATATTGATCAATGAAATACCAATTAAGTAATTTCTATTTATTAGAATAGCTTACTTTTTAAAGATGCATTGAAAGATACAGGATAGAACTAATATCTCACAGGCAGCATCCGGATCCAGATTCTTCACACACATGATCTCATTTACACAGCACAGCCACCCTGGGTGGGGGTTCATTCTCTCTTTAATTGAGCAGGAAATGGAGACTCAGAAAGTGCAGATAACTTGCCCAAAGCCAATCACTGGGGAAGCTGTGGAATGGTTTTGAAACTGTGTCTGCCTTCTGCCTAGCCCCAGCTCCTACCTGCTCTCCACGTGTGCGTGTTCAGTCATGTGCAACTCTTTTTGACCCCATGGACTACAGTCCACAGGGGTCCTCTATCCATGGGACTTTTCCAGCAAGAATACTGTAGTGGATTGCCATTTCCTCCTCCAGAGGATCTTTCCGACCTAGGGATCTAACCCCGGTCTCCTGCATCTCCTGCATCCTAGGCAGATTCTTTACCCCTAAGCCACCAGGGAAGCCATCTGCCCTCCATGTTGCTTCAAACCAAAATATGTAAGATTTGTACAAGGCCTCTGCTCTTTAGAGCAGTAAGTCTGCCCTACTTAGCTCCCAAGAGTACTGAAATGCTTACAAAATGAATATAAATGAACAGGATTTAAAACATAGATAAGGGTGTGTCACCAAGAAATGTGGAAAAAATAAACAATACAAAGAGGTGAGATTTGGATTCAAAGTACTTGCCATGAACTATAATCCACCAACAAGATGTAAATCTCAAAACTAACTCTGAGCTCTCTAGCAGTCAATGCAAAGAGGGCAACAGAAACACAAGCAGTTGTAAGATTTGCTGTCCATAAGCTCAAAAGTAAGTCAGTGGTTTAGAAAAAGCACAGCTATTCCTAGTATTTATATCCAAGTGGGATGTTTCTCATGGACAGAAGAACAACAAGAAAAGAAAGACCTCTGCTCTTTAGAGCCTCAAGTGTCCCTCAGAATAGTGGTTCCTGACCTTTTTGGCACCAGGGATCGGTTTCATGGAAGACAACTTTTCCATGGACCAAGGGCGGGAGGATAGCTTCGGGATAATTCAAGCACATTACATTTACTGTGTACTTTACTTCTATTATTATTACAACAGCTCCACCTCAGATCATCAAGCATGAGATCCCGGAGGAAGAGACCCCTGCTTTAGAGACAAAATGAAGCCCTGATGCCGGTGAAGTGATGACAGGCAGATGAAAGGTTTGTGGTGCCACAGCCAGAAGAAGAGGAGATAGGACGCCCAGGAACAGCCAGGGCCATGCTCTAGGCAGAGGGCATGAATAGGCAGGATTGAGATCGACAAGTAGCAAAGAGGGTAACCCAGGTGGCAAAATAACATGAGAGAGGCAGGAAGCTGCAATTTGTACATTGCTTGTGGGAGGGACAGGGAGACAGAGAGGAAGGAATAAGAGGATTAAACATGAGTACCACTCATGTTTCTAAGTATTTTGCATGTATCATCTCATTTAATTCTCACAAACACCTGTGGATTAGGTATGGCTCATTACATCTGTTTTACAGAGCAGGCAATTTTATAGGAAGAGAGAACATGGGCAACATCCTTAAAGTCATCCAGTTAAGAAGTGATGAAGTAGGAGTGTAAATCCAGGCTCTAACGAGTATGTATAAGTTGCTGCTTTGTTCAGAGTTCTTATGAATGGAAATTGTGTGGTCCGGTCAGCAGAGCCTCAGAATGCATGAGGAAACACTGAGATGAAGTGTTAAAGTCATCAGACTATTTAACAGAGAGGTAGGATAATTCTGAACGAATATGGTGTTTGTGTGGTGATGGGACTTCTTTGCCTAGGGTCTGGAACAAGGTTTCGGCGACATAAGATTTACAGTGCCATGTTTCTAACTTGTAAACTTTCACAGGACACAAACTAGATTTCCCAGTTTCTGCCCAATCTGTTGCGCCAGCTCACTGCCAACCTAAAAGCACCATCCAAGTTTACACATGTTTACTCTCAAGGCTCAGAGGCTGAATACATAACTTGAAATACTACATAAGCAAGATTGATTATAATATTTTCCTGGAACTGTGAATCACAAAACGACAGGACAAAGATGACATCTGTTCTGGGCTGACTACTGCCACTGAGTCACATTTAATGTTTTCTAAATAAAATCACCAGGGTAGTTTAAGCATTCTATGATACAGTTCTGAATAAATGGTGTTTCTGTAGTTTGACTCATTGGAAAAGACCCTGATGCTGGGAAAGACTGTAGGCAAAAGAAGGGGGCAACAGAGGATGAGATGGTTAGATAGCATCTCTGACTCAATGGACATGAATTTGTGCAAACTCCAGGAGACAGTGAAGGACAGAGGGGCCTGGTGTGCTGCCGTCAGTGGGGTTGCAAAGAGTTGGACATGACTTAGTGACTAAACAACAATGAACTCTAGTTTGAAGGAAGTGGATTAAATATACATATCTCTCTGGTGTAAATCTGTCCATTCAAATCCCATATTTTAGTTGAGTTAGTTGCTCACATGTTGTTGCTAACATTTTTCAGTGCAGCGCTGGAACACCAAAATGACACAAGAAACCCAATTAACAAAATAAAATTTAATGGAATCATTGTAATTATTGAGCTTGTGTTTATAGTAACACGCATAGAACATATATGATAATGTGACATATAACAATGCGACATCATAACATATGACAATGTGAGACAAAATAACAATATGACATATAATAACTACCATTTGAGAGTGAATAATTAAAGATGATGGCTGTCTACCATGAGTACTATGCAGGGTTTAGAATCAATGATGACAGAACAAAGTACACTGATAATAAAATCAGATGACTAAAGAAGATGCAGAATATTTTAATATACTAATCTTATATGTAAACATAAAATAAAGATACACACAAAACTAAAAAATGTATGTTTTGAAAGAATACAGACAAACAAATAAGAGGGAAAGGAGAAAAAAAGTGAAAATGGAGGTAAAAGTGAAGAGCAAGGAAGAGAGGATGATTTATGTTTTTCTCTAGCTAAGAATTTTTCTACTTAGCTATGCTTCAATTAATACAAAATAAGTTTCTATATTAAATGAAATTAAGTATCTTAAAGTACCATATTAAAAGAATCTTATGCTTGCTTTTGGACTTTCCAGGTTGGCTGCGTGGTAAAGAATCTGCCAAAAAAAGCCAATGCAGGAGACCCAGGTTCAATCCTTGGGTTGGGAAGATCCCCTGGAGATGGAAATGGCAACCCACTCCAGTATTCTTGCCTGGGAAATCAGTGGACAGAGAAGCCTGGCAGGCTACGGTCCATGGGGTGGCAAAGAATTGGATACGACTTAGCGACTAAATAACAACATGCTTGCTTTTACAATGTCTCTTAGTAAAAGTCAAGTTCTGTCACTTGGCAATATGATACTTAATTCAGAATTCCCAATGTCTGTTCAGGAGAATCTAATACAATTATCACCCCCAGTATATTTTCAACTTGAGCATTGTGTTTTGTTGGATCTCCCAGACGGTTCATCATTTTATTCATGTTTGGCTTTTCCTCCAGGCCCAGATATTTAAAACAAGATCAATACAAAATTGTATTTTATCTATATTTTAAATTAATTTTTTGAAAAAATTTCAATCAGCCTCTCCCAAGTAAAGATGAAATTTATGAAGAAATATATCAAGTTAACGGAAATATGCAAATTTCAGAAAGCAGCGCATTTCAGGGGCACCCAAGTCCTGAGGCTCATAGCCGAGAGCGGACAAGATGACTTGGAACACCTAAATCTCCCAGTGTAGACAGACAGCAGGGCACAGTAGCCGCTGTGTGCAATTAAAACAGACGGGAACAAAAAGGAGAGCATTGAGAGGACAGGTCCTTTTCTGCGTCTTGAAAGTATAAAGCTAATACTTTTTACAACCAAGAATGGAAAAACTGGTCAGAGCAGTCACATACCTGCTTCACGAAAGCATAGTAAGAACAGAAGGTCAAGTACTGGGTAAGAAAAGAAATGTTGACGTCCACCAGCCGAAAGGGCAGCTGCCTCTTCTTGCAATTTCTTTCTCCCTCCTTACCTTGAAGCCTTAGGGTCCTAGGCCAACTTTTCAAGCAGACAGAATAGTTTAACAAAGGAAGATTTAAATGTCTTCATTCTAGAAGGATTTTTTTTTTAATACTGTCAAGTAGATCCTTGTGTATCCTCCTTATTCCCTCTCCATAAAGGTTAGTTTCACTTACACTAAAGAATTGGTAAGAATTTCTGCACATGAATCCTTGTTAAATGACTAACCCACGGGGCTGTTGCAGACATGTCACTCTACCCTAATTCATTTCAAAGTTAATAATCCTGCCACACATCCTCCTCTTCTTGCCTGCAAGTCATCTCACTTATCCATGATGTATCTTTGACCGCCCCTGGGCAGAGATGAACTGTAAACAGGCTGTCAGAGCTCTAAC